GTTCAAAATAGAAATAGTATTATCTGAACAAAGTTAATCTAAAATTGGATGTAGAGCTCAAAAATGTTGAAATATTCAGGGTGTTCCATTTGAAAAAATTGTGTTCCACTCATTTTTTCATGAGATCAAAGTATCTGCATTTTTTGAAGACCCTGTATGAGGCAAATGAAAATATGACTCGGAGTGAAGATCCTCATAGTATCACTCCACTCCATTTCAAATTTGATCGTTTCAGTGCAGGAAAGTTCAAGATTATCAGCATTTATAGAAGTTCATATTTGGTAAAAAATATATCGAAATTAATTTATATCTTCTAAACGGTAATAGATAGGTATAGGGAAATAGTATATGAATTTGTTGACAAAGTGATAATGAATCATAATATGATATTATATACGGGGTGTTCCATTTGAAAAATCAAAGAAGACGCTGCTTTATAGTAGAAGCGACAACGCCGCTTCGTCTAAAATATTTTAGGCGTGTAGGTCATATTGATTTTTACATACTCTGAAATTTTCAAATTGATCCGTTAAATAGTTTGCCAGAAACGGCTAATTAACGCTCATCATGAAAAGCCCTGTATAACGATTCACGTGTCACCAATTTCATCAAAATTGTAAGTAGAGAGATTTATGTCCCCTTCTATGAACAGGTGGGAACAAAAACGGACTTTCATTTTTGATAATTTGTAATTTGAATTTGTATCATTTAGTTGAATATATTTTTTTACTTAAAGTTATGTTGTGACACAAAACCAATTGAAAATTCAGATTTGACAAATCCTTGCCACTTACGCTTAGGTACTATTAGGATACAATTGAATGTATACATTTCAAATACATTTTGAATTCGAAAATAAAGTTTCTTGATGAAGAGCATACAAAATTTATACAAATTTGATATCGGTGAATCCTGGTTCAATTAAAACATTTTAAAGGGGGTGTGGTCGCTTCGAGGAGACTAAAGAGATTATACTTGAATAAAGTTTAAAAATAAGGAGGTGCAGTCAAGTAAGCGGAGACCTTCAAAAAAATCATTTTACTTCGTGTGAGCTTTCGGAATCTCTTTTTCTCCATTTTTCAATGACACTACAAGATAGTTATAATGAATATATGTCATACCTACTTATATGATACAGTGAACCTATTGCAAGGGCGTCGCCAGCTTATGACTAAGGGGGGGGCAATGGGGTAATATTATGGAGGATAAAAAATATGAACGCCTGGTACAGTCGAAAGCATGAAGCGTTACATTTTTGAAGTCTTTGCCTCGATGACGATTGTAATAAGAACGGTTCTGATATCAATGTATAAAACTTCACAAACCCTCGACAGCACAATAACTAAATCAAACTTCAAAACACAGTAATAATTATTTATTTTAACAAAAATAATATTCAATTAAAACATAACTTGCGGGGATTTTTCGCTAAACTTTCAGCTACTTCATCATTAAAATTATTTAGGTTTTTATTTATTATAGCTCTGTGTACACTCATCATGGCCAGACCATTAAGGTGTTCTTCTGCTATGGTGCTTCTTAGCCATGTTTCCGGTCTTCTGAGGCTGCTAAAGGATCGCTCTACTGTACAGGTCGTGCATGGTAAAGCGATCCAAATTTTCAATGCTTTTTCCGTTTCGGGAAAGAAGGAATTTGTTTCTTTTAGGACATCAACAACTGTAAGATTTGTTAGATTAAGCATATCGTGCCACAATTGTTACCAAAGTTCGATTTTATTCTTTATATTCGGTAAATCATAAACCTGGGCAATAGATTCACAGGTTTGTTTCAGATTTTCAGTTGTCATCTTTTGCATCTGCGCGGGTGTAACTTAGATTATGCGAATAATGGCGAGTTTTTTTCAGCAAAACATACTTTAAAGGAGGTGATAATTTAATCCAAGTATGGTATTACTGAAGACCTCTTCCAATATTCTAAAGATCTTCCTGCTGGATGTTTGCTTCTATGACGTTGATATGACGTTGTTTCCCCGTAATACGCGGCATTGATGTAATGTCCTCCACCAGTCCGATTTTCTCCGCAACAGCAGTAGCTTCCTTTATAATTTCGTCTGTCACTTTTTTCGGATTGTCACGGTGGC